AGACAGTCAAGTGTGAAGGGATCGCTTGTGTGCTGACAGATGGATTCCTTTCTGTATACCTTGCGGAGAACCATCTCTTCTACTTCAGGTGTCTGTATCGTTCGTTCCCGATTCCTTTGACTTGTACCCGCGTAATCTTATACCCAGCCGTGCAAATATCTGGTATTCAAAATCAATTATTGGGGTACCGCCTCATTATACAGGCGCACAACGGCTTGCTCTTTAGAATCCGCCGCTCCATGTGCTACATGCATATCCGCTACCTCGGAATTACTGAAAACTTGCATCCTATTTCAGCAGCAGTTGATTTTTGAACGACAAATTTCACGCACAGAGGTTACATGTTTCACAAAAATGCCTTAAGCATGCTACATACGCGTTTCCATTCTACATTGCTATCGAATAACCTATCCCTCTCTGAAGTTTGTGCTCTCTTAGCGAATCAGCTTAAGTAGATATAGGAGCGAAGAAAATTAGTGTGCGACACAGAACTTTGAACTGCTGACCTTAGCCCAACAGAATGTATTATTAATTTTCAACACATGTATTTCTTAGAGCAATAACTATGCATAAAGCATAAAAATTAGCTAACTGATATAAAATTAATTTTTTAAGCATATGTCAAATTAAGAGTATCATTCGTTTTATATTTCAGTGTCCTTCAATATTTATAGTTTGGTCACCAGAATACTAATAGCGCCTATCAATATTGCGTTTGCTATTTCTGGTCGGATCGTATGATTTTAATGTGACAAGAAAATAATTAATTTTTATCGGTCTACCACTGATATATCCTTGAATTTTGTTACATCTTATGTGTATAAACCATACATTGTGCTCTGATTAAATGCTACTTGTTTCAGAAAATGTGTTTATACCATAAATTTTTGACATTTGGTTACAAGGCCATGCTACCATATACCGCTTCAGGACAGTCCGATAATAGATTCAGATTTAATCTAACGCAATTCTAGTGGCATTCTGTGCTTATTCTTTTGCATAATGTTTATTGCTAATATTATATCAATCAACAGTCAAGCTGTTAGCTTTTATTAATAGTGTACTGAATCAATGTTACATAAATTCAGTTTTTTGAATTATTTTTTTTAATTTATAATGTCTAAGATTAATACAGTTTTAGATGGTGACACAAACAATCAAAATTGAGACTTTCACATTTCCGACAAATATTATAATCTCTGAGTTATAGAGGAAAACAGCAATTCATTCTCTATGCTTTGATTGTACTTAGAGAACTAATACTCTTCTCTAGGTTCTCAGAAAACTACAGATCGAAATATACAACAATATTAGCACGTTTCAAATCCTGCGACAGAAATTCAGTCCAGAATAAGTAATTATTTTTTTAGTACTAAAATCACAAAATCAGGAATTTAAGAAAGGAGAATGCATTTGATAAACTACCATGACGGAGAAAGAGCTGATAAAAGGGAAGCCACCGGGAAAAGCTGACATACTCGATATCCTTCTCTCTCTCTTTCTCTAAAATAATATATATATATATATAGAGAGAGAGAGAGAGAGAGAGGAATCGTACCCTCAGCGAAGCGGTTTACTTGAGTGAACGCCGCTATTAGATATGTAGCTTATCTGTATAATTGATATCAGCAAGGGCGTGGCTTATTCGTGTAGCTGCCACACCATAATATGTCAATATGTCGTCCAGATGTATGTAATTTATATTTTGCTTAGTGCTGTTGTATTCAAATCGATCTAAACGGTACTATGAATATGAGACAAATTCAATAACATTTGAATATTTGGACACTGTTGACAATGGTCAGATCGTAGGAATATATGAAAGCAAATTCTCATTTTATCATACCGCGAGCCATGTAGGTTGTACAAATGTTACCGTAACACGTTGTTGTCAGCATTAAGGTCAGAAAGGTACACATTCATGTAGAATTTGACTTAATTCACAGCATGAGAGCACGAAGTAATATTTAAATGGTTTATTTAATAGAAAGAAATAAAAGTATATAAAGAAAAGTATATAAAGATGAAGTTAACGGTATGCAGGATTAACATAATGCTGTAAAGGCATAACATCGAAAGCGCAATTAAAGTTCATGAACTCTTGAAGACGTGTGAGCCGTCTGCTCACGTCTGCCCTCCACTCTCGACCAGGTCTCAGCGCTGTCTGGGATGATTCTTACTGCGCTGGGTGATGCTGTACTGATGACGTCATAACGGGCAATTCTCATTCAGCATTGGACGGTATGATTTCCCACAGCTTCGGCCAGCCTGAAGAGGCATCGTCCTCGATGTCTGTTGAATGGACATCACTATCATGTACCTGCAAAGATAAATAAAAAAAAAAAAAAGAAAAGAAAAAAGAGAGTATCAGGTCCTTAGGTTTTGAGCTGATACAAACATCAAATCAATTTGACCATGGCTTCATATGGTCAGCCGCAGTAGATGTCAAATTTGGTCCTTCATGGCATCCTACTTTCTCGACTTCATATCTGTCATTTAATCTTACAGCTATGATTTTATACGGTCCATGAAACTTAGGTCGTAGTTTCAAACCAGTCCCATATTGAGTTCTTTGAATGGCTACCAAGTCGCCAATCTTGTATAGTTTCGGTTTCTTACGTTTCTTGTTGAATTATTTTCGATTCTCTTCTTGTATCTTCAAAATGTTGTTTTTCGCATCTTCTCTCATTTCATCACGTTCTTGCATCAATTGTTTTAGGTATTCTTCATTCAATATCTCACTAATTCTCAAATCTTCTTTTTATTCTTCATTTTTCGTGCCTATGAGAAGCTCAAACGGTGAATATTTTCGTACTTCTCGTAGTTGTGCTTTGCTGATTATTCTCTGAACATCTGGAACATACTTAAACCATTTCGTTGAATCTCTCATGTGATAATTTTGACAAAACAGGAATCAAAATTCTATGGAATTCGCTCAATTTGTCCGTTACCTCTTGGAATACCGGTAGTAATTTTGACATGTTCTATTCCTTCTTCAGTACAATAAGCTGAAAATTCTTTCGATGTAAAGGCACTACCTCGATCTGAAATGATTCTGGCTGGATTTCCAAATACAGTCTGTTGTTGCTTCAATTTTGAAATAACTTCTTGTGTAGTTGGTGATTTCACTGGATAGAACCAAGTAAATTTCGTAAAAGCGTCGACAACAGTTAGAATGTGTTGGTATCTCTTGTTCGTCGATGGAAGAGGTCCAAATAAAGTCGATATGATACGTACTCAAAGGGAACGTTTTCTTTCGGTACAGGATGAAGAAAAATCCTTCTGCTTTTCCTTGCTTCTTGTTGTACAGTATACATTCTATACAGTTAGCAATTACTTTTTCAACTTTGCATTTCAGTCTGGGAATATAGAATTCTTGCTCTACAGCATTCACAGTTTTATCTACAGCAAAGTGACCTTTTTTATGTACCTTCTGTATGATTTCATTCTGTAAGGATTCTGGCACTACTAGAAGATCTTTACCATTTTCAAATTTGTACAAAATATCATTTCTCACGAAGAATCCATTTTCTTCTCCCTTCTCAACTAAATTCTTGATTAACTTCACATGTTCATCTTCATTCTGTTGTTGTACTAACCGAATCTTCTCAGTTACGGTATCATTGGACGGTATGATTTCCCACATTCATGACACACAGCCACTGGAACAGCAATGAGAAACAAGGCTATAATACAGGTAACAATAAGAGAATACTGAAGAGTTGTTTGACATATGCATACCGCCTCCATGCCATAATTGCTATAATTCAACAAGCAAGCATTCCCTCACTGTAACATTCCGTAGTTGCTGTTATCACAGAAGTCTTCTGCATGACCCAGAATTATAAGAATATAGAGCATTAGAAGACTGCCAGTAGTTTCAATACAGAAGGTAATGATGCCATGATGAATGGCAGCAGGTAATGTTTAACAATGAATTTCACCTTTATCTTCCCATAAATTGTTTACGTTATCCTATTTTTGTCAAGTGTATTTTTAATGTGGGATAAATGTATGTTCTGTTGTAAAGTAATTTGAGTGCCTGAATTGATGTAATAATTATGAAAGCTATGTAATAGTGTTCTGAGTCACAATGACTACAATATCTTACAGTATTACTTGATGTATTTCCGAATGCAAGATATGCAGAGGTGCGAGACAACACAACCTAATCTCTTTGAAGAATAACGTTGTCTCATATTCTAACAAGACCCAATAGAAAAACCTTTATCCCAATAGAAAAATTATTGAGATGCTATTAATGCAGATTACTTTAGGGACCTCTACGTCTCCATGCCGTGATGAGAGACAGAACTTATTAAACATAATGGCAGCACAAAATTTTATGAAAGTCAGAACATTTCTGTAAGTTGTGCAATGTCCGTTTGTCATACTTCTCTCTCACTTTTCAATCATTCCTTGTCGCTGGTGCCTGCTAATTTCCTTCCAAATAGTCTTTATCTCCGAGACTTCTGGTTGCAACATTTCTAGACGATGAGAGAAAATCTTAAAACATCTATTACAAACAGCTATAGCGCAAGCTAAATTAATATGAGAACACAGAAGAGGTTTAAAAATATTTTACAGCTTTTTCACTTGTTCAGCTAGCCCAAATTGATCTGAGAAAAGAGACGTTAGAAGAAATATTTTACGATTTCACGCTTGTTCTTCTAATTATTAGTATGTATAAATCCATGGTTTAAACACACATTACATATTTTATACCACATTTTTTCAAACGTTACATATTTTATATCCACCAACTGACTGCCCTTAACTGATAATTCTCCCTCCAGTCATGCTGTAAGATGAAGCTTTAGCTGAATCTGAAAGTTAATCAGGGATAAAAAATATCGCCTTAACTCTTCTTTAATGTATTTTAAACGCTAACTTTCCCGTACAATTGAAGACTTAGGGAAAAGTTCAATTTTTCAAGAATTGTCCTTATATATTTCATTTCATTTAATTAGAGCGATATTTTCAATACTTAATTTTTATAGGTCTCTATTGTAATAATAGTTCTGTTAAGCTGTGCAAGTGAACAGCTTTGTGGTACAAGCAGCAGTGGAGGAGGTGATATGCATGCAGAAGAAGGCAGAGGCGATTTAGGAGGAAAAGCTGATGAAAATGTAAGAGCATTTTTGAAATTCAAAATTTAATTGCTTAAAATTTTCTTTGTTGTTATAATTAATATGTATTTCATTTTACATAAAACTTTTCACTAGTGCAAACTGGAAGTTATAAGAAAGCTCTCTTTACAATTTCAACGTCAATCTGTTCAGATTTAAAGGCTCTACCGAATAATACATGAAATAAATATATGCAAACAAAATAAGCGGGCACAAAATCAAGATAAAACAAAACGCAAAATAATTAAATATAAAATTTGCATGCGAAATGCACCAAGTAAGTAAATGAGCAAAAGTTCACACAATTAAAACAAAGTAATTAAAACAAAGTAAAGTAATTTATTTCTTAGTATTGTGGCTATCCATGGTCAAATTCATGTGTTCGTTAATAGTAGCGGTGCATCTAATTAATTTTACTTCTTTTCACCTTACAGCCACGCGTCGAATACCAAAACCACGACGAACAAAATAACGAGGAAACACATCCGGAAGCAATATATGTGAGAGGACTCTTCACCTATAAAGATGCGCAAGGTATTGAAAGAACTGTGGAATACGTCGCTGATGAAAATGGATTCCAAGCAATCTCTCCCACTAGTGGAACCTCGAATTAATAATAACGGAGAGCAAATATTTTCAATGAATAGTTATGTATTAGTTCGGATTACTTTCACTTACCAATATGTATTTATGAGTCGAACTTCGGCTGTTTTGGAATGAGTTCATAAATCTTTATGAATAAAACCTAATACTTTATTTCTCCATTAACGTTTTATTTTTATATGCGCAAGTGCCTTTCTGCATTCAAAAGGAATAAGATAAATTCAGCGGTGGAGGACTTATGCATAATATTGTTGCGTGCATACAGGTTTGTAATACATTGAATGCACACAGTTCCGAAGATAGGTTGATAAAACTATTTTATCGATTTATTTTATCTTCATAGGGTCACTGAGTACAATCGGCAGTTACACTTCAAACTACTAAGAACATTAAAACGATGCAATGCAAAGTACATCTGAAAAGGCGAAGTAGATCCGGAAATACTTAGTACACCGACGAACGCTGAATTAACCCACAAGAATATCTGAGGGCAGATGATTTCTGCTGTTTTGGACAGTTTTAACCCTGCTGACGAACTATTTCTAGTACTTCTGCTTTCAAAATTACTGGAAGGCATATGAGTGCCGAATTACGGGTACAGCTACATATGAAATCAATTATAGTTATTTACCTACCTATTACGATGACACAAGGACCGGACCCAAATGGTAGCTGCTGCTGGCTTAGTGACTGCTGGCGATTTCTCGCCAAATTTGCTGACAAACAATTAGTCACCAAAACCATTGCCAGCTTAGCGATATCTCGCCAATTTAGTGAGATAGCCATTTACTTCAATGCTAAACAGACTTGTCGCATGTATTCTTACTTTTCCGGTAAGCTTCGCTTCTCTAGATTTTCATGCTCATTGTACAGAAAAATACAAAACCTTCACATAAAATTGCACAAAAGTCATCTATCTATGTACGAAATTCGTAACATTGCCCTCTTCTCAAAGCACTCCCGGGCAGTACAATCCTTGGACAGGAAACCATGCTTACAACTGAGACAAATCAATGCAATACTTAAACTATAATTCTAATAAATGATATAAAATAAATCAAATGCTAACCAATAAACAAATGCATAAATTTACAAATTTATGTACAAATAAGACCACGACTTTAGTATGCTATACGCATTATATACACTATGAGAATTACGTACTGTTGCCATAGTAAAGGGCTAGCTTATCATAATGAAAGACTGTAGGGTTAGAATTTGATGACTTGCAGACCCGAACTACGGCATCGTTCAGCTATTTAGAACCGTGTAAGGACCGTCTTAAGATGACTGTAGTTTAGAAGAGCGTTCTTTCTGTCGAATTGGATTCCATAACCATACCTTGCTCCGCTAAATCAATGTCCTGTAGCTTTCGTGTCATATCGGGTCTCCATCATCTTCTTCTCCAAGCTCCCTCGATTTCTTGCAAAACTGTGCATCAAATCATACCGTGCCTCGAGATCTTGAATATGCTCTTTAAGTGATGAAGGCGCATCTGAAAGGTGACCAAACAAGAGATCACAAGACAGACGAAGGTCACGACCGAAGAGCATCTGGGATGGGGAATAGCCAGTAGTCTCGAGGACAGCACTTCGAAAGACAAGTAAAAATAGAGAAAACTTCTTGTACTAGTCCTCTTGGTTTCTGGAAACCACCAGTGAGAGGTCATTAGGATGGTTAGATGAAACCTCTTTAGCATGCCGTCTGACTGGGGATGTAAAGGTGTCATTTGGGGTTTGTTGATGCCAAGCAACTTGCAAAGTCCTTTTATTAAAACACAGGTAAAACTTTAGCTTGATCAGAATTTAACATGTCAGAGGTTCCATGATGTCAAAGACGATACGTTCAAAAGGCGCTCTTATATTGTAACGACGCGCACAAGTATTGTAGGATTACCACGTTACCACCACTGGAATAATGGAAGTCGAATCTTCCATTATTCCAGTGGAAGCGCTCTCGAACTCTACGGAAAGTCTTCATTACTTGGAAGTAGCCTTCTGCGGTGCTACTATGTGATTCTTTCAGGATGTCTGGGATCCGGAATCTTGGAAGTATCAGCTGCCAACGGAATTATATTATCCTACTGTTATCCTACTCAAATTTCGGGTGCAAGACGTCATCTCGAATATGGAGTGACTTTCAGAGAGCCCAATATAATTTTGTCGTAGGCCTATAAATCAAAATGGTAGGTTTTCAATTTGAAGACTCCATTAAGTCAATTATAGGTTTAATGTCGCCGTCTTCCAATTGGTCTTTCCTGACTTCTTGGTCACTCTTTGAGTCTGAGTCAGACGATGTTGAATTCGTAACTTGATGTACCAACGGGTTAAGCAGCTCATATTTCGCTTCAATACTGGAGCAATATTGGCAGATTTCTGGGTAGGAGTCTTCTAGACAGGACGTTCCACATTTCGGTACGATGGTCCTTTCCTATGACAGAGATTTTTGTCCTCAGAGGCTGAATGCAGTTCGTTATTTTTAAAGTCCAAAGAAAAATTTTACTTCCATAGAAAGTCCAATTTCAGTATACAAGGATCTGTAATATCTGCCACATATGCCATATGATAGTAGGTGGTACTTCCAAACGTGATGTTAACGTTTAACGTCCCAACAATTTCGATTTTGCCACAAGACACACTTTGGAGGGTTACGCAGGGGGGCGTTCAGATGAGTTTATCTTTTAATTGTTGAGCCAAATCTTTCCAGATGACGATAACATTGGCTTCCGTATAGATGTTCTTACTGCAAGGAACTCCACTGACAAGTCTCATGATCAAATGTTCATTACTGCCGCCACCCACTGCAGAAATCTGAAGTACTTTAAAATGGGGCTTCTCATTATCTGGCAACCTGCGTTCCGAGAGATGGTCACTTATTTTTTTCCTACGTTCTTGCTGGGGGGTGTTTTATTTTCATTGACTTGGGGTGACATTTTCTTCGTATGTTGCCTTCCGCATCACTCTTATTCCTTCTCAAAATACTGGCTAGTCTGGTTAAATCGTCTAGACGACCAGTCGTTGGATGCACGGGCTCCTGGACATGAGCAGCTCTGATTGGGTGGTGATCTCTACAATTTGTTTGCTGGGCTGCCTCGAATTTCATGTCGTAAACTAGAGAGCTTTTTAAATCCGTGCCATTTAGCATTCGCGGGGCTTTCCGGGTCCCAAGATTTCGGATGCCATCGATGAAGTACTGCCGGGACAGAATTTCCCTTGTTTCTGATGAAAAAGGAGAGATGAGACAGCCTTTTAACATAGGCGAGTTCCTGGCCTGTTTCCGTCGGCTTCTATTAGCGGGATTTTAATTTAAGCCTACTATCGTCTTTTCAACACTTCTACCCAAAGCGCATCTCCAATGCGCCGGGTAGAGCTTCGAAGTCTAACCTCCGGTCTTCGAGTAAAGCTTGAAAGGTACTATCTTCTGCATCTGCTTTAAATAAAGCGTCGAGATGGCAGGCTTTAGCTTCGGAATCCGATTTGTTTGCTTTTACATTATGGAGAACTGCGTCATTACACTTTCCAAAAGATCTTTCCATTCTACGTGGATAGTTTTAGAGAGGGCCGGGACTACGTATGTTCGAATTTAAACGGGCTGGAATGTGACTAGCTGTCATTATGCATTTATTTACACCTTCAGCTTCCTTAGTGACAACAGGGAATATTCTGGCAGCAATTTGTTCTTGAATGGCTGAAATTATTTCTTCGATTTGTTGTTCCTCACCAAAAACTCTGTTGAATTTCTCCAACTTTATCTTCAACCGTGCCCATTCTGGCTTCCATAGCCTCGAATTTGTTTCCTATTATAGAAGTAATTTCCATTTTCATTCCCTCTTAACCTTCTTTCATCTCCTTAACGGGTCCCTGGCGAGCTTTCACTACTTATTTAACAGAGTTGATGGACCCTTTCATCTCCTCTTGGCCCGCTTTGCTGTCTTCTGTAACGGAGTTGACTGCTTCTTCTATCCTTTCTTAGAATGCAGCAAAGGCTGTCACGAGCTATCATAGTTGCTCCTCAATTTCTCTTGCCAACAGTATTCAAACCTACACCAGACATCAAAAATTGCTGCCGGTATACGGGTTTGCAATATATTAAATGCATACAGCTCCGATGATTGGTTGATAAAACTTATTTATCGAAAAAAGCGTGCACCGAGCGTGCTACCGTTACACCCCGAAGACATACAGAACGAAGCAAGAAAATGCCTTATATACTCTCCCTTTTAAAGGGTGACTGGGGATTAAGGAACCCAGTCGCCAAATCCTGGTGTGAAGAATCGTCATCCACCACCTTGTTTTAGTTTGGGCACCAGTGTAGAGTCATTAGGATATTTAAAGTTGGAAATCGGATTATTCCTTATAACTTATTTGAATTAATTTTCCGAACCTTTCGAGTAATTCGTTTTATTTGCCAAAAACATTTTGAAATATATTTTTCAAACAAGCATGTTTTAAAAACGTTTATTGGAAGTATATGTAAAAGAAAAATAAAATCATTTCACTACCATTTATTAACTGATACTTGCAAATAAAATTGAAGACCACAAGTACCCGAAAACAAATGTAAGTGAGTATAAATGTATTATCTGCTAAAATTTTCTCTTATTTTATTTCTGGTATGATTTTCATGGTTAGTATAGTCATGAACAAAAGACGTTCGGAAAATGCCAGAAATTTTTCTTTAGATAAGCGTAATTTGTAAAACTCCATAAATTTTCTTTCAGATTATTACATATTTCTTTCGTTAATTAACCTGTAAATTTGAAGCCAAACGCCATTTTAGAAGACTATGTTTCTTCATTAACTGATCAAAGTAAATCTTAGTAACTGGAAATTTTATTCTACTGGGAAAAATAAAACTATTTTTTTATTTTTACAGAATTCTCCGACCATCGCATATAAACTTAACACAAAGTTCTCTATCTTAATTTAAAAGACTATGTTGTTGGAAGCACATATCTAGTATTAGGTGGTAAAGAAATAGTATGTGTGGATAATTTTTCTAAGATATTATCTACATTTAAGCCGTTAGCATTCAACATGATTAAGAAAATGCATGAATAGTTCACTTTTTAAGAATTCAAATGACAATAAGAAATTAGAAATTTGGTTATAAGTTTTATGCTTCCTGAAAAGCTGTAAAATTTATTGAAAATAAGAATGCCAAAAAGAAATGTTGAAGAAAATCCTTCGACCGAAACTAAAGCTTGATTCAATAAATAATAATAATAATAATAATAATAAATAAATAAAAAAATCTGAAAGGTTTCAGATTTTAAATTACGTCCAAAGGGGCGTTTCCTTAACATTTTGTCTGTTACCTTTATTTATTAAATATCACGTTATTCGCACTTAAATCATAAATTTCAGTTCAAGAGTAATATCGCAAAATAGTTTTAAATTGAGCATATCTTTAGAATTTTCGATACGCAGTCTCACGCGCTGGAGATAAAAATGTTTTTTTTTTTCTGTACAACGTTGTCATTGCTCGCTTTGAAATCCTTGAGTTGGTTAATCAAAAATTCGTTAAAGATTTACAAAATATGAAATCGATAATAAAACAAATTCCAAATTTCAAATTTGCCCATATTCGCAGTAAGATTACGTCATTCAAAATTCGACTGCTCTATGTACCGTTGTTTTATCACAATGCGAGAAATATATATACATTTATGCAGATTTTTTATTATCTTCAAATTTTATTATTTAATTTCTTCAAATATAATGCAATACCCTAACATGTCTCTCTGTCTGAAAAGTGAATCGGACATTTATATTGAAGCAGCGCAAAATCGCAAAACGAAAACAATAGTCCTTCAGGGGCAAAGCCCCTTTGGACTAAAAAGCTTAACTTGATATTGTGCGATTAAAAAATAATTAATTGACAAATATGTTTTATTGAATTTTGAAATTTGGAGATTGAAGAAATGGAAATATTCCGGGGGGGGGGAGAAATCTAAAACTACAGCTACTCGTTCTTGAGATATGCGAGATGTAACTAAACTTGCGAGATGTAACTAACTAAACTTGCTTTTCAAAAACTAAAAGTATTTTTGAAAAGCAAGAGTTCTTTTCGTTAATTTAAAAACACTAAATAATTAATTCAGCTGACAAATTTTATATTTAAAGAAACTAAATAATGAAGAATCTGTATGAATGTATGCCCGTTTCTTGCATTGTGAAAAAAACAAAGATACTTAGAGTCATCAAATTTTGAATAACACACTCTTCCACCCGAACATTGTTTCCTTGAAGCCCGAATTTGGAATTTGTTTTATTGTGTACTTTATATTCTGTAAAACTTTAAGGAATATTTGATTTCAAAAAGTCAACAATTTCAAAACGAGCACTTGCAACACTCTAGGAAATAAAACATTTTTATCTCCAGAGCGTGAGACTGCCTGTCGTAAATTCTATTGATATGCTGAGATTTTATTTTTATTTTTCCTTGTGCGAAGTAAAGAAGGTATTGTAATCACGAAAAATTTCGAGTATCATATTTCAATGAAAATATCCATTTCAACTGCTCTCGAAACAATTTTGAACAATATGTACTTACGGACAGAATGAAGGAATATTTTTGCCAGAAAGGATTGTAAAATGGATTTAGAATAGATTTTTTCCTTGACATATGTAAAAGCGTACGTACATATGTATACATCTCGCATATTTCAAGAACGAGTAGCTGTAGAACGTTGAAATTTTGCACATGGGACTGCTATAACACGTAACTGTGCACCTCCCCTTTTTCGTTGCGATCGACTGCACCAGTTGTGTGTATGTATATATATATATATATATATATATATACCTGCTCTTGTTACTTGGCTCGGTGAGCTTAGTTTTTTTTTAGTCTTATATGATGATAAATTGTACACTTTTTGCTTTAAAAGTTATTGAATTATGTTAGGTTTTATATTCCGGGTAAGATTTTTATGCCTTTAGCTAATCTGTCTACAATTGTAAAATTATAAGCAATTAAAAACTTTAAGTGGCGAGTCAAGCCTAACGAAACGCCATTTGTTTATATTTGAAACTCAGTAGAATAATTAATTCAGTTTCTGCACATTCATTGTCTTTTTGCCGAGTGGGATCAAAAGTAAACTTCTTGTACGCTGGGCCGAATTGCTTGTTTTTGCGTAGAAACTTTAACTTTTTTGCGTAGAAAGTCTAACTAATAATAATTTTTAAAAAAAATTTTTAAACTGTATTTGGTGTTTCATATTTTTGTATTTTACATTTTTTAATGAAGATGTTTTGAGTTTTTATGTATTTTTAAATTGCCTCGAAGTGAAAACTGAATTAATTGAATGAGAAATATATCTCTAATGAAATAAGTTTAAATGAAATGCAGCAAAATATGTGTGTAATTTAATAGGCCATACAAAGAAGTCATGTGGCGTCCAGAAATTTTTTTTTATTAGTATGAGCATTATCGAAATTGAAATGGTTGTTGTACAGCTTTTGTAACGTATATCATCTTCTTGTCTTACTTATCAGCCTCTTAAAATAGAATTTCGTTTTATATGAGATTTTATTGTACTTTTCCATGACATAAGAGATCTATTACAAAATATTTTTATTCGAAACATTAAGGAGTTATTTTCAGTTTACGAATTTGTGTAAATGATGATAAACTGACGTGCATTTTATAGACTGCACTCTGATATTCTCATTTTCATTAGGTAGCATGATTTATTTCTTAGATAGGAATTTTTCATAAGATTTTCTAAAGTTATCACATAGAAAGTGGATAAAAAATTTAGGTTAAGTTAAAATAAAATATAGTTTACCTGCAAAAATAATTGCTTATGTTAGTTCCAATATCATTTTATATTCTAAAATTTTTACAGAAAATTTCTAATTTTATGTTTCAAAGTAAATAATTTTAATCGTTAAGAGGAGTGTCAGTATAAAATTTTTAATATTTATTCATCATTATTTAGGCAAGTATCTTATACATTATACACATTTTAAAAATTAATGTAACTAACCAAGAAAAGGTAAATATTAAGAAAAATAATGTAATCTGTCAATGAAATGTAAATGAAAGTAATATGCGTTGAATTTTGTACAGATTTTTAAAATCCTTCTCACCTAAACGATACCGTTAAAAATTCCATCATGTATTTCTAATTTTTGAAATGTACGTAAATGACTTCATATATAAGAATTTTTTGTATTTATGTTTTCATAAACAATCATAATTACCATTTGTTTATATTATCACAATTTTTCTTACATACGTATTGTGTCAAATATACTGAGTTGCATACAAGTCTATTGTGCACAGAAATTCCTGTTCAAAATTCCTTGTTTAATTAAGCTATTCATTTGCATTGAAACCACTGATATAAGCAGATAGTAATAACAATAAATATTTGCGCCTGATACATCTATTGTATTTCTTATCTTATGAAAAGGAAAATGAATCACATTGTTTCAGTTTTATAAGCAGTTTATTATTATAAGTTTTATTTACACACCCACACAAGGTCTACGACCAAACCTACATTTTCCCAAAATTATCGCAGGACATATCATCAACTTGGGATACAAAGCATTATAACGGAGGGGGTTGGAGGTAATGCATGAACAATTACAGTTCATCTGTAAACATGTAATGATGCCTTCGGTGAGATGAAGATGAGGCTGGTATTTATTAACCACGTTATCGTTGGCGAGTGTTTTCTTCAGGCTGAAAATATGGCGCTTGAAAGATTCTCTGCGGCTGACGTTGATCAGAGAATGTCTTCTTCTGACGAATGAATCTAAAGGGAAAAAGAGAGGGCATTCACATTACTGCTTAACTCTGGTTACTTTTAGTGTTTCAGGATATTTCTTATGTGAGGGAAGTGTAAGAATATACTATAATTGATTTCTTTAAAAGTTTTATCATATTTCAATGTTAATATCATCTTTCCATATAACTTAAATTATACACCCGCTCGAATCGTTATATTTAATTCTTTAAGAGGCGGCGTTAAAGATGCACAAATTGCAGCAGAACTTACGAGTTGAAAGTTACGTATGGTTTGTTCTTATTGTAGGTGAGTTTGATTTAATAATATTGTACATACGTAAAATCAGACTACAATGTTAAATTTTTATTGCCATCGATTTGCTGGATTAAAAACCTTCAAAGGATGTAGCGTATAGGTAAGCATGTCACAGGCTTGCTAACGCAACAGGCTAGGGATAAAACTCATTGCACTGAAAGAAAATCTTAAAAATTAGATTTATGGAGATTTTACTACTCTAGCGCTCATATTTGTTTGAAAATACCATGGATGTTTGAGCTGACTTACAACAGGATAGTTTCCATAGAAAAAAATTAATGTTTGATACATACATGGAATATAACTTGAGTCCTACAAGGTTATTTACATATTTTTAAACATATTTTAATGAAGAATATCAAACCGTTTCAAAACGGATTTGACTTGACTTTTGATTTAAGAGAGTTCGAACTGCTGCGTTTCACCAATACGCTCATCCTTTTCACTAAATATTTTGAAAAATTTCTGTATACCTACAACAATTTGAAAGAAAGAACACCTAGCAGTTAAAGAGAGTGGAGTACAAATCTAAAGAAACTAAAAACAGTTATGTATTTCATGAAAGAATAAACATATTTATCTATTATAATTCATTATCTATTCAATTCAGCTATTTACGTTGCAATATAAAAAATCTAGTACAATGTTTTGTGAGGTATGAAGATATCAAGTAATTTTAATAATTTACTATACTTCAATACACAATATTTGCCACCAATACCCATATCCAACCTTACAAAGAACTTCAACATAAAAACAGTAATATATATAAAAGAGTAATAAACTATATTTGCTGAGAGTACCATTTAGACTATTATTGAAAAAACGGAATCCAACATGTAAAAATAAACATCAAGACCTTCTTTAGCTGGAAGAAAGGGAATGTGCATAGAGCTTAAACAAGCTAAGACGCTTTTTGTAATATAAAAACCGCAGTAACAATAGCCCCAGAAAGCTGATGTCCTACTGCATTTATTATAACTGCATTTGAATTCCCTTATTAAAATTAAAATAGATTTTGTATTATTCTCCGCCCTGTGCAAAATAATGCCAATGGCTATGATTATTATGTATACATCTGGGTAATAGAATGTAAGAAAATATTTGAGGTATTTTTATCTAAATTGCTACCTTTTTAATTAATGCTGTAATAAAGCTTAATTTCATTTATGTTTTAGAAAAGCTCTAAACCAGATTTCATATGGTTGTTAAATGAATGTTAAACTACTATAGCCATAGGCATTCGAGTTTGTAACGATTTATTTTTCTACACGAAATCGGCATTACTGTGCTCTTCAAATTCTAAGGAAGAAATGTGATTTCCTCGTTAGCGTTCAACAATTAAATTAAAAGTAGATGTAATGCGGTAAGCAGTAAAGTAATAATACAGAATAAGGAAATTATTTTTATAACTGAAATGTGGTAATATTTTTAATCGATATTTAATTTGAAAGGTATGGAGCTTTGATAATATACATGCGCATAATTGTTTTGATCTCAGAAAAGTCTATTGTCAAAGCCACGTCTACTTTGACACTAGATTACTGCAAATATTACTACTGTCTACCTGTGGCTCGGTTAAACATGCAACGTGCATTTTATTGTTTACATGGAATTATATGGCAGTTAATGATACATTCTTTACATTAAATGGAATTGCTTTAGGTGTATATGACCATGGCGAGGGTACACCTACCCTACAAAACATCGAATTTTGGAGATGGTGCAGAAAATGTATCAACCTATTCTGTTCTAAAGTCATTTGGGAAGAGTTTTGAAGATCGCAGAATTCAGTTCAAATTCCTCTTTGTTGCAGATAACCATCAGATGAGAAAAAGTTTTGAAAATATTGACATGCTTTAGTTCAAGTAAAGTTCAGTAACAGGAGATAAAATTTTTACACAATATTCACTGTTGATCTCCTGGGTTAGACTTACTCAGGGTATTATATTATGAAGAATAGAACTGCGTGTAAACAGACGGTTGGATGAGCCATCGTTTTGCTTAGTATAAGCTTAACGCAGAATATTTTTTAATATTGTCATTTCCAGTAGGATGGTGGTCAGTGAAGACTGATTGTTAGTTTGAAAGTTAGGATATAGGCTTGTGTGTAACATTTCGGGTTCTTTCTCTTCCCTTCTTCGGAGGAATTATCACTCGCCTTCTGTTTAAAGCCTTCCTTGTTTCAAGGCTCAGATCATAACTGAGTAATACTGAAATCTCACTACTGTCTATACTTAGGCAGAAAAAAAATATGGCTCATCGTACATAATGCTTTTTAATTTCCTATTGTATGTATTTTTAATGTGATATCATTATAATCAAAGTTTCAGCAGCATTAAGCTGTAAATATCTCCGTCTTGTTTCTGTCATTTTGAGACTAATTATATTTCTACTCTATTTACTTCTGACACACGTGGATTCATTAGATGCTGTCTGCTGCTCTGATTTGAGAGTGCTCTCCAGCGTGTCTGCGCATTCTGACTTTCTTATCCTCATGTTGTTAATTAATTGGTTAAATTGGTTGGAAAAGTATTAAAGGATTGTCTGCTTTAGACGAGTTACCTTCGTGAAGAATTTTCTAAGGCTACTTCTTCTAACATTGACTTTTCCCAAACGTGTGACACCTGAAAAATCACGAAAAATCCATTCAGTATGCCTTTTCACAGGAAATCAAACTCGGAGCTCAGATCTATTTGCTCAGATCAAACTCAGATCTATTTAGTCAGATGGCCACCTTATTTTTTTCTGATCTCTTCACTCGTAGGAGTCTATGTACTTGTAGGATTGATAATGCATTGCACTGTCATTACTAATTAAATATTTTAAGTATTCGATGCATTACAGGCCCATAAACTGCAATATGATACCATCTATTTGTTCATAAGCACAGTGCTTTATATGTTGTTCACGTGACTGCATTGTCTTTCTGCCATTTATACTTCATCTACATATGTAAATATGCCAATAAATTCTCATAATGTTAGGACAATCGTTTCAAATTTGAAATTTGAAATTTTTGCGCCCTTTATATAGAAAGTTATCCTTATTTCCATGAGAAAAAAGGAAAGGAATGCTTAGATTTCAATAGCTGTATTCTTACGTCTCTAAAAGTTATTCGATATTTTTTGGTTAATTATAATCGCAGATGCAATGGTAAAATTTTTATTTATTCTAACATTGCATGCTTACATGCGGTTTTATTCTTCATAATATAATTTCTTGAGTTAGTTTAACCTAGGAGATCAGCAATGAATATTGAGTAAAAATTTTATCTCTTGTTACTGAACTTTACTTGAACTAAAGCATGCCAGTATTTTCAAAACTTTTTCTTGAGGTGTGGGAGGGGAGGAAGTACTCATTTTGCAAAAGTAATTGAATCAAGCATTTCTAAAGCTGAAAAATCCACACTTTCATATTTGGATATTATGAAAAATAAATATATAATAAGTAAATAAATAAATAAATTGGAACTCGTTAAAGCACCCGATTTTAGTTATTTTACCTGCTGAAAAATCGAATGTTAGGTAATCTTGTTAGTATTAGATTTGAAATTTGAAGTCTAACATACTAAAAGACACACACACACAAACACCACACACACACACACAAAACAAAAAAAAAAAAAAAAAAAAAAAAAAAAAGCACCTCTGTTCTTCATATGTCATTTATTCTATCTATGCTGTTTAATTGTATTGAAAGATTCAAATATTGACTTAGGAAATGAGAAAACCATTAAAAACAGTATTTTCACTATTCCCTTGATTTTCTTTTCATTTTTTAATTTAGGTCACATCTTCATCTACCCATCTGTTGCTATATTAGATATTCCAAGAAAATTTCAAATGTATTAGATTCTTAAAACCATTCCCATTCTGCACAATCTTATTATTTTTATTAATTATTTGAATTTAAATCTTCGTTATTCGAAAGTGTTCACACGCGTAACCACATAAATTAGTTTTCCTTTCTCTCTATTCAACAAATGGTATTAAACGATCTGCTGTGTTCAGGATTATTAAATCAGTGCACAAGGATGCAAAATATAAAGATCTTTTTTATAAATTTTCAATGGACCCTAAAAAAAGACAAGCGTATGGAACGAAATTAAATTATTACTAAACGTTATGTACCAAAAGGTTACTTTTCGACAAAATCGCCGTGAGGATTTAGACATTTGTCATACCGCTGGACGAACTTTCCGATCTCCTCTTTGAAGAACGTTACAGCCAGTGACGTGAGCTGAGCGTGAACGTTGTTTTGAAGTTCCTCTTTGGTTTGCAATCTTCGGCCTACCAAGTTCTTTTTCACTCTGCATTATGTCGGGGCCATACTTCGGGTAATCAAACACGTTCTATTTAAACTACTCCAGAAATTGTTGGTGTACAACAGCACTGTGAGGGCGTAAGACAACTTTGTACGTCAGCACTGATGTTCTATTGTTTTGAATGCTTCAATATTCAGGCCTAACTCACCACACTGACGCCAAAGTTCTTCAAAGACAGGATTGGAAAAGTCATCCAGGGATATGACAAATGCTTAATCTTCACGGTGATTTTGTCGAAAAGCAGCCTTGTTTGAATATAACTTCTGGTAATAAATTCATTTTGTTCTCTTATGATTCTTTATGGTTCATCTGAGTTTGAAAAGAAAAACAGCCTTCGGAATTTGTTCCAGGAAAAACAGTATTGCTAATACATAGTTTCATACAAAATCAAAGTTGCACAAACTTGTATTTCACCGATTACTGATGTTCAAGTCTGTTTGCAACTCTTGTATATGTTACTGAATATGTCTAGTTCTTAGTTACTGCTCTTAAAAAGTTGATACATTTTCAATGATAGTATCACAGATTTAACTCTATAATAAATAATATAAACATTTTAGAAAATCTTACCTGAAAGTTTCTTTCTGTCCATTGGGATTTCAGGTAAATTAATGATGATGGTGATGGTGGTCATCATGGTGGTGATGATCATCATGGTGATGAGGGTGGTAAGATGAATGCACGTGCACGTGAGCGGGATCCTGGTTGTCAGTTCCCTTTTCATTTGTCTTCACTTCAGCCCTAAAGCCATGATGATCGGCCACATAGTGAACTTCTCTGTGGATGCCATGGTGATCCACGTAACCGTAGCTGCCTTTCACGTGACCATGTCCATCACTGTGTTCGTGGCGATGTTGCTTGCCATGGTGATCGTGGATCTCATAGCCAAAATGATATGGTTTGGGATGGTGATGGTCGTGATGCTTCAAATTAGGAGAAAAATCTCTATGAACGTCTATAACCATCATATAGCAAGATATAATTGCAAAGCTGAATAAATATAGAGGTGAAAACTGTCCTATATATTCATATACGGCATTTTTAATGAATTCATCTGCAAAACTTAATTATTTTATTTTAATGAATAATGTTCCGTGCTTTAAGATAAAACATTAGCTAGTGTAGTTTTTGCAAAATGGAATGTTTAGCTTAGATGGAAGTGATTAATTTTTATTGAAAGCTCTTTCAGTAATAGAAATACTTCTTAGAAAATCTGGTAAGAATAAGAGAAGTGATTGCTAGTAAGCGGAAATCCATCTTGATAAGCATTTCTGTCTAATAATGATATAATGTCTAATAATATGTGTTGTTAAATTTTGATTCTTGTACAAAAAAATTTCGATTCAATTTTATTTAAGGGAATTGTAATGGATACCATTCAGGACTAGTACTAGATAGCATATCATTTTCGATATCCACTCATATTATATATATATATATACATATATATGAATATATATTAATGAAATACAAACATTAATGGACGTGAATTGAATTTTATCAGGGAAAAAGTTTTTGCACAATTTAAGGTCTCGGAAGTATTAAATTTCCGGTCGCTTACAGAAAACTCAGAATCGATTGAAACTTTTATTCAAGAACTCTTATCTTTTCTTTGATTTATCACGTGAACTATTCAAAAAATTTTTAAGAAGCTTTGTTTTTAAATTTCCTAAGTACGGTTTTATCTCTATATTTGGCGAAAATAATATGATTGTATATCCAATGAGATTGAACAGAATTTGATCTCAGACGTAAGCCCAGCCGCGTTTCTTTCAAAAAATCATTCGTTTTTTACGATGTGTGCGAATGATGCGCGATGGCCTTAATCTGCATAAAAAAATAGAAACTACTGTTCTGTTGAAGTTGCTTGCTTGCTAATAAGAAATTCAAAAAAAAAAAAAAGTTTGCTAGTTCGAAGAGATTAAAATGCAAATAAATGTGGTTTTCTTAGGCTTAGTAGCACTTAAACAACTTTTAAATTGTGGATAATTCTACAACTATTCCATGAAGATTAACTAAAGGCATAAAATTCCTAACCGGAACATAAGAACAGCACAATTTAATGACTTTTAAAGCAAGAAATGCACAATCTAACAACATATAAGAATAAAGAAACTGAGCTCACCGAGCCTGGTTACATAATGAATATATAGATAGACAAATATGTACTTAGATATTTTTAGGGGGACCGTTTACAACCAAAACAGGAGGTGCACAAGTACATGTTATAACAGATCCAATTTACAATCCATTTTGGGAGAAGAGTCCTTTGTTATGACCGTACGTACAGATGTCAAGCAAAAACATAGTTCAACAAATGGATTCAAGACCGCTCAAAATAGAAATTTTCCTTCAAATATGATACCCGAAATTTTTTTCAATTGCAATACATTCTTTACTTCGTACAAGGAAGTAAAAATGATTAATTTAGCTTAAAAACACTTACAATCTTAACACTAAAACTATTAATAACCATTAGTTTGAAGAATTTGTAATTGCTTTTATCGGCGTAGAAAACGCTACGGTAGTTTTAGTGTTAACAAACTTAACCGAGCAGCCTTCGCTGATACTAGCTATTCTGTCTAGTAACTCAGTGTCTCGTTTCAAACTGAAGAAGAACTGTGATGACTGAAGAAGGATACTTCTTCAGAATAAAGTAAAATTAGTCCTTTCCTCTAATTCTGTAATGATATTGCTAATACTCATAATAATCTAATATTTTCTTTTCGATCGTTTGTATCCTAACTAACTGAAACTTTTTCTAAAACGTCTGGGCACAATGATTAGAACTCAACAACTGCAGATCGTTCCTTAGTCTTGAACCTAATGCTTTATGCTTACTCTTAAGGCACGCACGATTGAACAGATAATCACACGTGACATATCTATAGCTTTGACGAACCACGGTGAGTTGATATTGGGTTCGAAGTTAGCGAAAGATATTTTTGCTGAATTATGATTTTAGTATCTATGATCTAACTATTTTTACATTTGTCACCAAAAAATAATTTTAGAAAAAAAAAAAAAAACGGTTTATTCGTAACTATGAAATAAATTATCTGTTATTTTGACGGAATTCGTTTACTGCTTTTTTTTTTACTATCTGCATTTTACTATATGTTCACTTCCACGCCCGTCGAATTAATTTCTACCTTTTCGTTGCCCTGCGTTGGCAACACGCTTTTGAGATTTGTCGTTCGTAGGATTCGGTCGCTAAAAGCGTAGCTGGCCTGTAACTGTTGTAATTTTTATTTTATGCTTATCTGTACTCCTGAATTATTACTAAATGTTTACGTGTGAATGTTATATCATTAAATGTCTTCAGTTTGATTTAAATACACCAAGAGTCGACTGAATTTATTAAGTATGTTTAAAGTCGAAACTGCGTCATCCATGTCGGCGCCATTCTAATACGAGGTACGTAAACATCATTTGGAGGCACGCCGACGAGATCAGATCAAGAATTCGTCAGCAGTTCAAGTACAGATAAGTGATTTTTTAGTTCGATTTACATCTAAATTTGATTCTTGAAGTTTTATATCTATTTTGTATTGATTTTGATTTTGAACTTGAATACTTCGATTACTTATTATGGATCAAGCTACTGTCATTAGATTGCGTGGTAGGGCAAAAGCGGCCTTCACAAGGCTTCAGAATACTATTTCTTTCCGATTTATCTAAAAAATGAAGTAATTTTGCATCTGGAGCGCTTAGAAAGGATTTATTCAGATTTTGATAAATTTGATGCCCAATTACCAGAAGAACAGTCAGAAATTGAAGGTTTTGAATCGAAGTGTTTTGGTTTGAAACTTCAGTATCAAAATTTATTAGATGTATTAAATGCGGCTAATGTGCCAAATGTTACAGGAAATTCTAATATTAGTAACTTTAAGTTACCTAAGTTGAATATTCCTATTTTTTCGGGTAACTTTAATGACTGGATGAATTTTAAAGATTTGTTTTTTTGCAACAGTGCATAATACTTCTTTATCGAATATACAGAAATTTCAGTATTTAATCGGATCACTTGCTGATGAACCAGCTTCTATAATTAAACATATTCCGTTATCAAATAATTCTTATGGAGAAGCATGGGCAAAATTGCTCGCTAGGTACGATAAAAAGAAACAAATCGTACAATCGTTAATTAAAACATTTATGGATCAAAAATGTATTTCACAGGTTGATAATGTTAATTTACGACAATTAGCTGATATTTCCGATGAAGTTATCAGAGGTTTAAAAGCTCTTGGTGACAAAGCAACTTCTAGGGATCCATGGTTAATATTTATGTTGGAAGATGATTTTCCTACATTGGAATCATTTTTTGAATTTTTAAATTTAAGGTGTTCTTCTCTCGAAATTATCATAAATAAAGAAGCGGAAGCTAAAGTTGTTGATAAAAGTAGTAATGTTAGTTCTAAAACATTACAGAATTCTAAATTTAGTAATACTAAATGTTCGAAATGTAACGGACTTCATGCGTTATATAAATGCGTTAAATTTAAGAAGCTGGATGTTACTGCTAGAAAGAACTTTGTACGAAAACGAGGATTGTGTTTTTTATGTTTAAATTCACATCTAATCAAAAACTGTAATTCACAGTTAAAGTGTAATTTGTGTAATTCAAAAACGCATAATAGTTTGTGGCATGAAGATATTAAAGCTAACAACGTACAGCTTTTAGAAGCGCCAAATGAAAACGAAAGCACTCCAGAGAGAATTTCGAATGAATCATGCGAGGGTCAAGGTCAGGTAGCTGTCAGTAATACTATTCAAAATTGCAACTCGGCGATTTTGCCTACAGTTCTCGCACTCGCATTTTCATCCAGTGGCGAAACTATCGAAATTAAATTATTATTGGATTCCGGAAGTGAAAGTTCGTTTATTTCTGAACGAGCTGTTCGAAGATTAGGATTAAAAAGAACAAATCAAAGGTTACTTTTGCGTGGAATTGGCGGAATGCCAGCTTCCAAAACTCGTGGTTCTGTTGATTTTAAGGTTCGGTCAAAGTTAAATAATCAAGTAATTGATGTTAACGCATACATTTTGGATAGGTTAACTTTGCCATTGCCGGAACAAGTGATTAATGTAAAGCATATAGAATACATTAAATCTATTCCGTTAGTGGATCCGAATTTTGCTCAACCCAAAGAAATTGATTTGATTTTAGGAGCTGATTATTTTTTCTCCGTTTTAAGATGTGGCCAAATATATGGTTCGAAAAATGAGCCTGTAGCTCAAAATACAATTTTCGGTTGGGTGATTGCTGGGAAGGTCGGAAATAATATGGAAGGCCCAAAAACAGCAAATTGCACACTTTCATAAAGTTAGAAGATAATATAAATATTGATTACGAACTTAAACGTTTCTGGGAAATGGAGGATATTGTCGATGTTGGGAAGAAGGAATTTCTGACACCTGAGGAAACAATTTTGTGAATCACATTTTCAAAACACTCATTGCTTGTTAATTCAGATGGGTGATTTGTTGTAAAACTTCCATTTTATAAATCGCATTTGAAGTTGGGTGATTCAAAACCGGCAGCAATTTCTAGGTTGCGTTCCATGGAACGAAAATTCAAAGATAATCCGGAATTTGAAAAACAGTATAAAGATTTCATACATGAATATGAACAGTTAGGACATATGACTGTGATTAAAGATGATTTATCTAACAGATCGCATGCAGAAAAGCTTTATCTTCCTCATCATGCGGTAATTAAACCTTCTAGCACAACGACAAAATTAAGAGTAGTTTTTGATGCATCCTGCAAATCTGAAAATGGTATATCATTGAATTCTCTTTTGGGGGTAGGTCCGAAATTACAAAGAGATATTTTTGAGATTTTGATTAATTTTCGATTTCCTAAAATTGTTTTCACAGCCGATGTGGAGAAGATGTATCGTCAGGTGATGGTAGC